CCCCCCCCCCCCCGAGATCTAGATGAAAGAAATCTTGGTTACTTAGCTTACGCGTTATTTTATTTCTTTGGTTCCCTTTATCTCAGGACGTTGAATATCAATCGGAACATCAACTAGGGCTAGTGACGTACAGATGTTTGGATTACTATTTTCTGATGTGTTCCATAATCAGGTCATGACCCAGTTGTGAAAATCTGACCGTCAGCTGAAAAATCACAAATGGATTGTGTTGAAGTTGTGCGTGTGTCTTGTGCCTGGGTGTTTGTAATTTGTATGTACTTGTGTGTGCGTGTTTAACAGTTTGTTGCGTGTGAGTAATTACGTAGATCATCTAAAGATGTGTAAAATAAAAAAGTTTAAATGTTTAGTTAGAACTATAAAAAAAAATATTTCAATAAAAGGGCGTTGAGTCCGTGTGTCAAACATTTGAAAAGATCGATAAGAAAGAAATACTGTATAACTGAATGAAAAGGATAGAGAGATAACAGTAAACAGAGACCCTATTGTAAAGGGTAGTTACCATACCGCGACTTTTGACCTATCTTCATTCCAGTCATGATCACTTTTGATGACGTAGTTGCTGTCGTAAAACCTGTGCCAACACAGTTTGAATGTAACAGAACCAATAAACATGTTTCGCCATTTTTTTGGAACACTCCATAATGTTATTTCCGTGCTTGTTATTGGACAACATTAAGTTTAAAAAGTGCTTACAAAAAAAACAAAAAAAACGACTGTTGGTTGATGACAGAATGAAAATATTAACGCAATAAGGAGAAAAAAAGGGGGGGGGGGTTGTCCTCAACGTGAATAAAGGATCATAAATAAAGGACTGCGTCGAAGCTGTGGGAATGAAATAGTAGAAGAAGGTATGTGGAAGCTTGAATCAAAAGACAGGACTTGAAGATGTCAACGTTTCGGCTTAGAGATTTCCCAAGTGACGTCGCCAGTGTTTCTTTCAGAAACTTTCTTCCGGTGGGGGACATTTCCAATTTTCACTGGTGGGGCCACAGTTCCAGTGGCCATAGGTGTAGCTAGGGGGCAGGGAGGGGGGACAGTTCCAGTGGCCAGAGGTATAGCTAGGTGGCAGAGAGAGGGGACAGTTCCAGTGGCCAGAGGTGTAGCTAGGGGGTAGGGAGAGGGGACAGTTCCAGTGGCCAGAGGTGTAGCTAGGGTGCAGAGAGAGGGGACAGTTCTAGTGGCCAGGGGGGTAGCTAGGGGGCAGAGAGAGGGGGCAGTTCCAGTGGCCAGAGGTGTAGCTAGGGGGCAGAGAGAGGGGACAGTTCCAGTGGCCAGAGGTGTAGCTAGGGGTTAGGGAGAGGGTATTGATAGTATTTAATTGATGAAGATAATGGGTTTCAGAGATTATGCGTGTGGGGTGGGGGGGGGGATTCTACTTCTTTAGCAACGCCTTTGCCAGTGGGGTAGAAAGGGGTGCGAATGGGGTTGTCCACCCAGATGTTATTTTTTCTTTATATGAAAGGGTGGCATTTTCGAACAACTGCAGATTTTATAACGTGAAAGGGAGTGCAAAATTTGTATGGGGAATTAGAGCAAAAATTGGGGGAACCGATGGCTCTTGAGGGGAAGAGGGGTCTGCTATACTCTAATTCTTATGGGGCCTTGAGATCACCTCCCCATACATTTTTTTGATTATTTTCAAATTAATAGGTGCTCTAGGCGTATACCTGAATTCGGTGATTCTTTTCAAGTGTTCGTGGGAGGTATTATTGCAGCCAGTACCATGCAAAAACTGAATTCACTCCGGTTGTGACGCGCCCTAGGATAATCATGTGCACAAGCCTAGATTCAACTCCTTCCTGTAAATTTGATCGGTGTGAGGGAAGTGTGGGGGGGGGGGAGGGAGAGAGAAATATAGG